CAAAGAGTCCTCTCTTCTCATTAGGTGACCAAAGTATCTGAGCTTGAGCTTCATTATCAATGAAACTATATACAGTTATATATTAATCAAAATTTAAATGAGATAATGTAATTGTATCATGTGAGTATATGAAACTACTGTACCTTCTACATAAATTGATAATCTATTAACTATACTTGTGGGCTGTTCTGTTAAATCTGATATTTTTCCCATACAAGTAGAGGTCAGTCTGTCCTCCCATCTTCTTAACTATGCTTCTCTCTGGTTTTAAACATAGTTTGTTCTTATTATATGTTATTCTTTAATCACAGCAAAAGTAAGGGTTTTTTAAAATTTTGGCTGTCCAACTTAAATAAATTCTTTATATTCTTATTGTTTAAAACTATTTGCAATTCCCATCTTTCAACTTTTTCAATTTGTCAGTGTTGAATACTTTGACCTTTTTTTGCACTGCAGGGAAGATTTGACATAAACATTATTGTTTTGCTTTCTCCTGGAAAAAAATAGAACTAAACCCACTGACAATTTTATGATAATTTTATCTGAAAATAACTTGGATGTTTACTGTTTCTCTAGGTAGATATGGCATGTAGAGTTGGATGCCTTCTCTGTGGTTCTTCTCTGATTATACTTGGGATTTGGGAGGTATAATTAGGTAATGTGGAAACATCTCTTAAGCTTATTTAAGAGGTTGGGAAACAGGATAGTCCACTTTTTCTCGCTGTGCCACTCTTAACCTCCCATCCTTTCTCTTATCTCTCTGGTAGTGGAGAACCCTGATTCTGTGAGGAGAAGTACGCAGAGAGAGTCCTCCTCCCCCCTTCCTTTCCATTGTTGCCTTTCACCTTACTAAAGAAATGACAAAGCATAGGATTTTGTTGGAGCAATTCCAAGGCCCTGTGTACCTCTCCTCCCAGAAAGAACACTGAAGGAAAATATTCCTGTACTTTTTCTTCCTTGCACACATCTCTTTTGGAAAGATCTTTGGAAGATGAAGATAGAGCCCTCTAGCTGCATGAGCAAAGCTAATTGCTCAGAGGTGTTACTGAATCATCTCTGTTAGCCATTGAATGCCTAAAAGAAAACAAAACAACCTTAACATGCCTAGAAGTACTGTAACTCTTACCAGCCACAGTCAGTAAGATAAAATTATTTACAGGGCTGTGATACTCTCCTGACTAACAGACTTTTTCTGCTTTCAGTGTATCATAACCAAGCCAGGTCTTGAACGTAGGAATGTTTTTAAGATACGGAATAATTTAAGAGAGGGGTTTAATAGTAAATGTCTTAATTATGATTAAATCCACATAAACAAAAGCTTTGAATAAATGTAATAAATGCCACTGAAGTTACTGAGTTGCACTAAATTAATATTGTACAAGAAAATTAGAAACTTCAGCTTTTCTTTTTGCTTAAAAACAGTACAGTGATACCTCTCAAATTATTTAAATTGTGCTTCTTAAAATAAACCATTTCAGTAAGCCACATTTTAAAACTGGCTTTTAAAAATAAACAATAGCCTAATCTCAATCAGCCCAAATCTGGATTTTACAAGAAATTGCAGTTAGCCTGAAACAAACACAAGATTTTGTGTTTTCCTGATTAAGGCTGGAACTAGTTTAGAAACTCTTCCTCTCTTACTTAGAATGATAAGCAAAGGCAAGGAATTGTAGTGGGGAAATGTACACTTATACCATATGCCATTGTGAAATTTTATTAGTACATATTCAACAAAAGGAATGCTTTTCACAATATTTTTCTGTGGTTTGGTAGTTGTAAACAGTGTTGATTGGAGTCTGATTGCAGTGATGCTATCCCATTTATAGATTGGAAGAACAACCGCGGCCATTTTTACTGCACCCGTGTTTGAGGAGCTCTGAAGAAGAGGCAAAATTCCTGCAAGCGTGCTCTCAAATTCTGGTCTATTGTCTTCTGCCCTCAAAGGATGCTCAATCTTTAAGCTTACATATAGTCCTAGCAGAGATACTTGCAACAAAAGGTGAGAGATAAATGTTAGTGGAGAAGAGCTGATTTGATAAATTCATCTTATGTTCTTTATATTGCTGTATGTTTTTTTATCTTGTTTAGGTTAGTGTACAAACTGGGCAGTTGTGTAAAATAGTGGATGGCATTAATTGGTGGCCTAGCCAATTTGAAATTTGTCCTTAGCTATTTTTCTTCTAAAGCTTTAATTGACTGATTAACTTATAGCACCAGTTTTCCGATGTTATGGGGTGATGTTTACAAGGATAGGTTAGCAATTTTATAATATATTGACTTCCAAATATCTGTAATCACAATTTTTAAAAGTTTGTAAACTCTATTTTTTTCTGTTTAAATAAAGGCTATTAAGGCTGCAGTCCAGTTCTTACTTCTAGGGAGCAATCATCATGGAATACTATGGGTTTTTTTTTCTATTGATGAATAGAATTGAGTTGTATATTTTAAGAAATAAACTTTCTGTGCTGAGATATAATTCTTCTTTATTAAAAATGTTGAATTGATACTACCTAATGCACATTTTTCCTCTTGTTTTGTTTTTGCTGATTTTAGTACTGAAACCAATGGTAGAATTATTGAGTGATCCAAACTACATCAACCGCATGTTGCTTGTCCAGATGGAGTACAGAGAACAGCTGATTGAACATCACAAGAGAGCCTACACATATGCTCCTTCTTATGAAGAGTTCATCAAGCTTATTAACTGTAACTCAGATATTGAGTTCCTCAAACAATTAAGGTATCTCAGTACTTGTTCCCAGGGAACATAACAATAACAAAAAAAACCCTCTGTTGCTTTAATGGAGGTGGATTAAATGTGTCAAAGTCAAATATTTCAGCATTTATGGCCCAAATGTGATCATAACCAGGCCTGATAACTTGACTGTATATGGTTTGCATCCCTGCACCTGAGAACTTAAAACAGCTTATCCTGCTTTCCTGGCCACAGAACAGCAGGCCAAACCCCAAGAATTTTTATCTTGCTGAACATTCCTGTTGCTTCTTTGAGCCACAGAAGATAATATTGTAGTTTCTGCTGTAACTAAGAAGAATGTGGGGCTTACTTGAACACCAAAAGTCTTGCATATCTTAGATCAGCCCCCTTTCAGGTTTCAATTCTAATTTTCAGGACTTCAACATTTGTCTCATATAGTGTATTACAGTTGTCATTTCAGGACAATTTTCACTTAATTCATAAATTGAACAGTGTGTCTTTGATAGGCAGTTCAGCTGCACTTTGCATATAACTGACAGTTTTTTCATTGTAAAGAGTTCTCTTGGGAAAACTTAGTGGTGAGAGCACTCCCTGGTTTCATTCAGCCTTGAAATGAAGAAGAGCATTGATCATCCTGGTTGGAACTGCTGGTGGATGTAGCTCAGCAACATCTGGAATGCTGCAGGTTTTCCATCTTTGCCCCATTTCACTCTTTTCCAGTTATGTCTTAGCCAGAATACTTTTTACAGGCACAAGGCAGTTTAATAGGAAAGAACAGCCATAACCTTGGCAGTTCTCATCTCTAAAGATAAATTCTAGCACAGATTTTATTTTTCTCTAAAGAACCCTTGTGCACATGTGCATTAGCCAGTTGTTTCATAGACACCAGCGCCAGTTGTGGTTACATTGTTTAACAATATAAAAACTGGCGAAAGGCCCATTATTCACTGTTCCTCTTGATGTTTAAAATATACTGACAAATGTTTGTTGGGCTTTGATAGATCTCTAAATTATGCCAGTATTCTGGTTATGGGATTTAATTTTCTTGTATATTCACAGTTTTCATCTATCCTGTTTCAGTCTTTCTATTTTTCTCAACCAGACTCCTGAACTAGTCTGAATCTCTAAATTTCTTTCAAGGTTCTACCCCCCCCCCCCACTTCCCGAGTCCTCTGCTTGGATAGGTCAGGTTATATTTTACAGTTTATACTATAAAAAGACAGTCTTCCATCACTGACAATTGTCATGTTGATAGTCTCCTTTTTTCTAAACAAATGATTCTCACAGAATACAATTTTCAAACATTTTAGCAATATTCTGATAAAATAATTACCTTGTTTTTTTAAAAAACGAATAGCCTGTGTTTTAGATTATTCCAAGTAATATCAAGCCCTCTTGCGTAGACAGAGTTTGCATTTGTGTGAATAGTTTAATGGCCCTCCATTTAAAAACTTCAGATGCAATGGACAAAATTTGAGTCCAGACATTCCCCACAAAACAACATACATCTGTTAAATTGAGGTTTTATGATGTTTCTAGGAAGATGGGGGAGCAGGCTTATGGGAAGTTTGGCAGCAATGTTGGGAAGATTGGAGGTGGATGAGCCAGTGAGATGTGTCATGCTATGAAGTTGTCACTAATGAGAGGATTGGTGGGAGGGCACTGTCTTTAGCCTGCATTTGCAACGCAGTGGGGCACTTCAGGCTCAAATTTTGGAGGTTGCACAAGTCTTTCCTACTCCCTTAGAGGTGTGATATTCTTCCCAGCCATCTCTGTAGCAGTTGAGCCAGGTGATAGACAGGGTGGCTGCCCTGGAGTTGAGTCCAGCTGACTTGAAGGAAACAGACTTATGTGGACATTTGAACATTATAAAGTATTACTCTAATTGAGTTTTATGCATCTAGCTTACAAAAAGAAACTGGGCACATTAGTATGTGTTTTAAAACTATCAAAATAAGATATTGGCATGACTAATACATTTCTGTGGTGATTGAGCTGAAAATATTTATGGATTACCTGTGAAATTATTTGCAAGAGTAAGAAGAATGCATCAAATCTTTTTAAAAAAAGTGAAGTCTGGTAGCACTTTCAAGACTAACCAACTTTATTAGGGTGTATGCTTTTGTGAGAAGTGGGTTTATCTATTTTACATCTTAGTAGTTTTCAGTGTTTTGATGGCGTACATGTGTGTTTGTATGAGAGAGAGAGAGAGAGTCTGTGCCACAATAGTAAGCAACATCTGTTTTTTATATATCTTTCAAAGCTTTTTACCAAAAAAAAAATGATACCTTCTGAGGGACAGTTGCAGTATAATAGCTTAAGAAACATGAATATCTTGTTAAAGAATTAGGGCAAGGCCAAAATTTCCTATCCTCAATATTGCATGAAACCAACATCTCTGAAGTAAAAAGGATCAGTCTTATTTCCAGAAAAGCCTTTGTTTTCATTATTTCTGGAAAATGTATTGCTGAGTTTACAGAAGACTATGACAGAAACCTGACCTTTTCTTCTTTCTGAAATTAGGTATCAGATTGTGGTGGAAATAGTTCAAGCAACCACTATCAGCAACTTCCCCCAGTTGAAACGTCAAAAGGGTAAGTTGTTTCTTCAGGACATGTTAAACCTATTGCTAAATTGTGCTCATGACCATTTGTGCAGAAATAGAGAATACAGTGATCGATCAGGTATTTATTATAATAAACCAACCGGTTCATTTGTAGTTGTAAAATTCTATATGATACTATGGATTCTACAAAGTATCCATTTCTGTGGGAATCAGAGAACTATAAAATTATTTTTTTAAGTCTAAGGATTTCTGGAATGCTTTCCTCAAAATAACAAAACATATTGCATGCAAATGACTTTTCAAACCAGTGAAGCTTTCAAAGGCATTTTATTGATATATTGTGGGGAATCACCAGCTCAATAGTTTTTCTTTTCTTTTTAAGTCAGATTCCTGTAGTTTATGATTAGCTTTTTCTATAAGCCTCCACGGGGTTTTTGGATCCTAATCAAGATTGAAAATGGATTCCTCTATTTCCTGATCAGTTCAGCAGAGTGATGAAGTAGCCGTCACTAACATGCATGGTAGTGCTAATTCAAAAAAAGTTCAATTGTTATTGGTTTGTTTAAAAGGGGATCTTTATATTATTAAAACAATATTAGGAAGCGTTCTAGTGATTTGAAATTGTTGGGGTGCAGTGAGACATGTGGTAGAGGAAGGGCTCTGTAAATTAGCTAACTAGTAATAATAAAGGCAAGGAGATACCAATTGAGAATTACATTAGTCACTGATGCTTTGCTTTGATTTTTTTTAGAGTATTTTTATTAGAGATTACAATTAGAAAAAATAAAAACTAATATAAACTACAAAAAATATAAGAACAAAGAAAGAAAAAAGTGTAGAAAAAAAAGAATAAGAAAAAAAAAGAAAGTGTGTAAAGAAGAAACTTCTCCCCTCATCACAAGTATAAACAATTTTACTAACTTATCACCATCTTTTAAAATACAACAAATGCTCTCTTCTTCGCATATCTCATCTCTTAACTATAAACAAAATCCAAAAGCCTAGTCATTCATTCCTTATCAGCAAAAGTCCATTAAGGGTTACCAGAGATAACTGTATATCTATTTTAACCTTGATCAAATAAACTAACTCTATATTCCTTCCCTGTACTTTTAACAATCTTGGTTTTTAATCCCTTCAAATAATGTCCTAGAAATTGATTTCTTTTCATTTTTTCTTTGTCCTTTCTCACAGAATCCTTCAAGATTTTAACAGATCTCTTTTGTACATCCAGTAAAAAAAAGTTACCCAAATCACTCTTCTGGTTTTATATTTGTATGTCCCCTTTAAATATTAATATTAATATTGACCGGTTTCATTTGTATGTCCTGTATCTTTTTCCATATCGTTCTTGTAACTTTTCATATTTAAATCCACATTCAAATCAATTTCATTCTTATCTGTGTTCCTCTTCTGTGACATCATTAACACACCATCTATCTATGGTATCAGATACTCTTAAAATTAATTTCTGAGTCCATTGTTCAAAATATCCTTCAGATCATCCACTGTTAAAATATTTTGCTCCATTCTTTGTTAATGAGTTGAATTTAAATATTCTTCTCCTTTAATTGTAATCTTTAGTTTCTTTTAATTCCCTCTAGGGTCCAAAGTCCCTCAGTTCAAAGTCCCATTCTGTCATTTTTTTTCCCTCAAAGAACACAAACAACAATAGTTTCCCAAGGGAAGGATTCTTATAATTAATTTCAAAATCTTATTCCAAATCCATCTGGACCCTTAATCCATTTTTAACTTTCCAGAATCAGTACTCTAAACACCCTTTTGCTGTTTATTCCAAAAAATAATATTTTTCCAAGTCCTTAAAGTCACATTAGCAAACTAGAAGGAAAAGGAAACTCCCCCGGTGAATGCAATAAAAAATGAGATTGAGAATGCTGCAAACAGCATGGGATAAATGTCACAGAGCTTTTCTGTGTAGCTTTTCAGTCTGATTGCATATCTCTTTCTTTGACAGGAAACTGAGTTTTCCCTCAATTCCAGCGTTCTATAAAATCATAGATTGTTATTGAAAATCATACATCCTGGATATTCTAAATAATAGACTTTTTAAAATTCCTCTCTATTTAAAGAAGACAAACCAGCAGCTATCTGGTCTTTTCTTGCAGAAGAAACATCTTTTGATGTGCTTCATTTGGATGAGATAGTAGGGCTTTAATAGATAACATGGTTTATTTGTTTGTTATGTTAGCCTCTGACTATAATCAAGCTTTATTGTGACTGTTCTGAAATCATAGTTTAATTGGTTCTATATCTTTGGACACCTAATTTTGGACATTCTAGCAGACAGTGGCAGGGTAGTGATTGTGCTGTTCTTACATCCTCAAGGTAGTCATCTCTTATTCAAACCAACCTGGCTGTCAAAGCTGTCTAAACAGCAATATCTGCAGAAGTTTACTGCTTTTTCAGAATCACAAGAGCAGTGTTGCTGAATTTGTGTTGCAAGCCCCATTGAGTTTGTACAAGTGTGTCACTTCATGATGCACCTACAAAAGAGACAAGTGTGCATTGTGATGCTGCTTTCATCTTTCTATTTCCCCTTAGCCCTCCTGCAGATGCTCCTGCTTCTGAACCCAACCATAGTTGGCTGGGCTAATTAAAGTCATGCTGGCAGTTCATGACATGTGGCCCCCCAACTTACTTAAACACATTTTAATGTTTGTTAAGTTTTTAATAATATTAATGCTTCTTGATTTGTAAGATGTTTTATACTTGGTTTGGAGAGGAAAAGGATGGGAATAATTCCCACAGTTCAGTGTTAATTATATATTACTAGATATTGCTAGAGGGTTGTTTATCTTTATCTTCATCGGAATCAGCCCAGTCTGCCTTTTGTCCACATGGAGAGCATGTGAAATGGGAGGCTGCAAGTTGGTTACAAGACATATTGGTTTTAATGTAGTGTTTCTGAACTAATAAGCCATGATGCATGCAGTTAGAATGAGTATTTTGGTTTTATGGCCTTGAGCTGTATAATGGGGTCATGCATTGAGTTTGACATTGTATCAGAAATAACCATAATGTGATTAAATATCAGTCAATTTATCTCATAATTAGGTGCTATTGCACAAAATATTAGCTGTAAGCTTGGTCAGAAAGAAGAGGGAGAATGGAAAGACTTTAAAAGAATGGTGGTATTCTCACATATCAGCCTGCCAAATGCTTTCAAAGAAAGGTGTGATGCAAAGATGTGGATTTCTTTGTTCTTTCACCTACTTGGTCATGGGCCATCAGGAGTCCCTGTTTGCTGTACTTTTCAGCATGAGGTTAGTCTTCTCTTTCAAAATCTGGACAAACACTCCATTTGTGATCATTTCTTTCTCAAAAGGGTTTGTTCCTGCTCTACTTAAAGAGATTCAGATTGAGTAAATACAATAGTACTGGTTAGTGTCTCTGTTCATTATATGTTAAACAGCTTTCTGCCTCTTAAATATTTCAGTGTGGATGGGTAATGTATGTGTAGCTTTTAAGCTGTAGTGGGAAAGCACACAATTCTGTGGGTAAGGAAGCTTTCAGGCGGGTGTGGGTAGCAAAACATTGTCTATTTTAAATCTGAATCCTTTAGCTATTTAACATTTTATCATTTTTTGCATAATTTCTATCAAGAAAAATAGATTTTTTGATAATAACAATGTGTTAGAGTTATAGCATTGAATATCCCCTATTTTGTAAAGTTGTACCATGCTCTTGTAGAACAAACCTATTAAGTATTTCATTGGTTTTAACCTAAGCTGGAAGGGGGAAATGGAAAGAGAATTAATTTGATTTTGGAATGAGCTGTTCCAATCCTACCAGAAGTGTTCTGACATACAAATAGCCTGTTCCGATTTTAGCAAAATAGGCTGGTAAGGCTGAGGTAGGTCATTCTGTTGTTGGAACATTTCTGGAAAAGTTGGAACAGCTGAGGTCAGGATGTTTTGATCATGAAATATTTTGTATTTGATAGTTCTCATTTGGAGGAGAACCAAATCAGGAGTCTGGCAGCGCTTTGTCTGACTAACACATTTTATTAAAAGGCATAAGTTAAAAGGCTGCAGCTCATGAAAGTTTATGACTTTTAATAAAATTTGTTAGATGGTAAAGGTGCCACTAGGCTCCTGATTTTTTGCGGATCTCTGTAATTAATAATATTGATTTACTCATTTCTTTGAGAGAAATTTAAGGAAGGACAGCATCTATTTTCCAGAGAGTTGATAATAATCAAGAAGTCGTTCCTTTTTAAAAATGTTGGCACATGATTTCCATGGATTAATTAATACTGAGCTAATGTCGCTAGTCACTTGATTTCATAATGTGGTTAAAAGTTAATTGTTAATTGGCATTCCCCCTCCCCTTTTTGTAGCATCCTGTAATAATATGTGGGAATAACCTTAGGAGACAGGAGGAAGAGTCTCAGAGTAGACAACAATCAGACAAATGGCAGCTTAGTCCGTAGAAGAAATGGGAGCATGGCAAATGTCTCAGAAGAGACCCTCCCTAGTTTCTTGAACTGTAAAGGTGAGGGGGGAGAGATGTACTTTTAGATTTGCAAGATTCTGTTCATGTAAACTTACAATAAATTTAAAGTTAGTACTTCTGGATGTGCTTCGTGTCTGGACAACCTCGCAAGGCTGAGACATCCCCTCTATTCTTTAGTAACATTGTACATTTGCCCTGGCTTAAACAGAAATCTAACCTGCATTTCCTCCTAATAAGGGTTTTTAAAACCAAAGTAATTTCAAATTCTGGTTAAGAATTAACCCTGCTGAACCTTCACTACTGGTACCCTTAGGACAATGTAGTGTTTAACCACCACTAAGGGAGATACTGTGCCTTCCTGTATAAACAGGTGACAGCACCAGGTTGACCTTGTCTCAGCTCAGAGTCTAAGAAGGATGATCAGGCTTAGTTAGTACTTGCATGGACGACCTTCATGGAAATATCAGGTCTGTGGGATAGAACGGGAATCACATTCTGGAAGATGACAGGGACAAGCACTTCTACATTGCACCCAAAAAACTGTGTAGACATATCATACAATCACCAGCAGTCAATTTGAAGTTGATTTTACCTTATTAAGACATTCCAGCCTTTTCTAATCAACTTACTATAGTTATGGTTAAACTACATAGGATATTAGTCATGCCTTTAAAGGCTGTGTCTAGGTGAGATCTGTGCTCCATTTTGGATACTGCACCATTACTTCAAAAACAGTTGCTGCTTATTAGACACATTGAAGGGACACTGTGCAGGATTTACTGTATTTAAAACAAGTCTGCAAACACATAGCACTTTAAGTGTAAGATAGGTAAGAAATGTTAGAAAGAAAGAAATCTTATGTTCCTCAACAACCTGTAACAATACAGTTGTGGGCTCCCAAAGCTGCCATTTCTTAAAGGTTGTTAATTATCTGTGGACTTCCAACCTGCACAGAAATGGAATTTTAAAATTAAAAATAATGCTTATGTTCATAGACAGATTTACATCTTGGTTCCTGTACTTTTGAAGCCACTTCAGAAATAAAATCAATACTTTCCTGCCTGCCAAGCATTCCCCTCAGGAGAGCTAGGAGTGCAGCAATCAGCTTCCCAGCAGCTCTTCATTTTTCATTTCTTCTCTAGCCATGATTGTGCTGAGTTTTCTTTTCTTCCCTATTTATTTTGTTCCTCTGTTATCTGTATCCTAAACCTCCAGGGGATTCAAAAGAAATCATGCTGCCCAAACCCTCTTAAGGACAAGGAACAGTCTCTTTCCCCTGGCCCATCCATGCAGCTAAGGCCTAAAACACTTCTGTTGGTGTTTACCTTTAGATTAAAGCACACTTCATGGAAGGTGTGATTTCCCCAAAGAACCTTCAAAAAGCTGGTGGGGAAAATGGAATATTGAGCGAAATAAAATCAGGATGACAGGTTGGGAGATCTCTCATGCATTTCATCAATGAATCAGATGTCACCATGCTGAGAAGAATGCTCTGCTCTGGTGTTTTCCACTTTAATATAAAGCTTAGAAGGGGAAGGAAATTGATATTGGAACTATTGCTCCTAACAGTTTCACTGCAATGTTTTATGCTGAAAATCTCCACGAATGCATTGGGAAAGGATTCAACTGAATCCCCACCAATCCTTGGTTTTCACTCAGATTGAATCTGACCTATAATGAAAATCTGATCATTCACAATCACCAGCTCAGACAGCCAAAAATGAAAACATAGAGTCTTGGGGATAGTGGGGTTGGGAGGGCAAAGAATTTATTTTGCCCTTTTCATGTTGTTTGTGCCTGGTGGGCACAATCACCACAAAAGACGATAGTGCAAAGTACAACAATTGCATAAGTTTATTGACTCAAGGCTTGAATACAGTTGCCTCTTTAATACATTTCTCAGTTTCACTACAACTAATTAAAGGTACACATTGTAAATGAACACAGATTTTCAACGATTGTATGTACTTTGTTAGACTGAGCATTTGTTTTATACTTTATGAAGTTCATTAGCCATTGTGGTCACTAGAAAACATAATTTGCTGGAGAAGCCTGCAAAAAGGTTATGTTTTGTTCAGCCATGGATCCTCTCTGGTTCAGCCAGCCCCTGGTTTCTGAATATCCAAAGCACCCTTCCAGCAGAAAGAACAAAGAAGTCTGCTATTTCTTCGGAGAAAGGAATAGAGTTTCATAATGACCCAATAGGAAGACGAGGTTTTCTTCCCAAATGATTACCTGTAAATTGGGACAGGGGTTCTCTTATATTTGCTGAAAAGAATAGATGAAATGAACAATGGAATGGAATTGCAGAGGCTGCAGACCTTGTTGCTGAAATGCTTGGATGTCTTAGAACAGTGTTTCTCAATCCCAGAGCCTTTAAGCTGTGTGGATTTCAGCACCCAGAATTCCCCAGCCAGCACTGAAGTCCACACGGCTTAAAGACTCTGAGATTGAGAAACACTGTTTTAGAAGATTAACTTGAAGATTATCTGCTTCAGGGGTATTTAGCCTGGTGAATTTAACTTTTTTGTAATTTTTAATCCAGGGTTCACACTTCTAAGATGCACGCATATAATGGAATGGCTGAGCCCATAGATAATTCAGATCTAAATCACTGATTTTGGTATAGATGTTCTAATAATCCGTCATCATGATGGGTAACCATGAGGTATCACTGTAAGCATAAAGAGGAATTTTCTTTAATTTATGTTTATGAACCTAAGTTTATGCGCCTAAGACTTAGTACTTGCCAATCAGTGCTAAGTACTGTAGGTAGCAA